ATTTTTAGGTCCTACGTCCAACTCAGTTATGAAGTAATTTAAGACTTATTGGTTCGTCGTCTGGGGCCATCTAGTTATGTCAGGTTTTCTTGCAATGGGTGTCAGTCTGTTTATCACAGTACTAAGATAACAGTTGTTAGGAAAATGCAAGATTTTGATTGAGACTACTTATATATTGCTCGTCTCTGTCGTCGTTGCATAATTGTTGCTTGTCAAGATGATCCATTTGAAGATGAAACTTATGAATGTATTTCACATGCAGCTTTCAAGGTTGAAAATAAGGACAAGGAAACCACATGCATTGCTGAAGCTTGTGTCCTGTGGAAAGTGTCTCTCTGCAAAATCTCCAAGATAATTTGATAAAGATAGTTTTGGCTAGCTTTGAAGGTTTTGTACAACCTCATCTGTAATTCTTGTATTTAGCCAATTTCCTTAAGTTTAAATTTACTAGGTCAATTTATCAGTCAAATCCTTTTACATTGAATAAAAGAGTTATATTTGATGAGAAGATGTAGGGCAAACATCATTTAAATCAATTTTACCCCTTTACAGTTCTTGAAATGTGGTTTAACAAAATTGAGGGCTTGATGGGTTAATGATGAAATTGATTAAAAAGTCGAACTTATCCACAAAATAGACACATCAACAAAAAATTAATTTTTTATATTTATAATTAAACACGATTTCGAAAATGACAAGAAATTGAGGGTCCTGAAAATACTTGTTTTTCATTGAACCCGACCTGCTTTACTCCCAAAGCTTATGAAAAGCTGTTGTAATTTGTCAACGGTTCTGGTATGAACCCATAGAAATCTCAAGTCTTAGTCGTTTTGTTTGGCGTCACTTTCATTAATTAATACTTAATTTTTGACTCCATTGTCAGCTTAATTGTCATTCCTCAAATTAGGCCCATTATTGTCTTTCGTCGCAACTTCAAACTCCGTCGGTTGGTCAATTTGAAATTGGAAAAGAGATGCTAACGGGTGTAACCCAATGTAAAAGGGCCTTAACGTTTAAACTATAAGTTTCAGGTTCAAATTCCTATAACATTATAGTTGTGTTCAAATACACTAACCACTTACAGACACTCCACTTCGTACACCTATTTTTTTCACGGATAAATGTTGAAGTCTATTAAGACATAATAACACAGTCGAATGATTCAATTTTATTTGGAAAAAAATTATTGTTATGTATCTTCTTCCCACAAAACGACAATAGGTGGGTGGATTATGCAAAGCATGTGATTTGATTTATTATCGCATTGAATTTGAAGGCAGGAAATTAGGTGAACTATACCTCGTCTGCTTTATTTGATGAAATTTTCAAATCAGCCATTGAAGCTTCCCGTGTCAGAATGTGGCAGCCGAAGCTTGCCATTATATATAGGTGTTAGGCTATAGGGTTTTATATTTCAACCATAGTCTGAAATATTTATAATATTGACAAAATATAGAGGATATTTCGGTTTTTTCGAATCAGGGATATTTTGGAACATATCCATGTACATATCGTAAAATATCGACAATATCGACAATAATATCGGAAAATATCGATGTCGATAATTTCGCTCACAGTTCAGCAATATTTTGTCAAAATATCGGTGTAATATCGCTAAAATATCGATGTAATATCGCTAAAAAAAGAAAAAAAAAAAAAGGGAAAAATGGAGGGGAAAAAACACAAAGGGGATGAAACCCTCCCATTTTACTCCTCCAACACCTTAACCACCATATATAACTTATGTTTTAATAATAATATGCTAAAATATTTATATTTATATGTGCGGCATGTTAACAATTACATGCAAAACTATTTTGGGGATTTATCATTTGATGAATACTCTTCACAATCCACTTACTATACACATAGAGATGATGAAAATAGTGAAAAATTTGAACCTCATAGGAACTCTATGTGGTACTAAGTCACTCATGTATCTTACTATGCAATGTATAAAGTGTAAAATATTGTAGTAAATCATTATATATAAATGACTATGGTGTGTTTAATATTTTTATTATTATTAATTATTACATATTTTCTACACTCACAGTGTTTGCCAACTCGCTGTATAATCAACTTAAATCAATTAAATCCATCATGTAATGCATTTCCTTCTAATTTTTTTTTTATAAACTAATAGATAATTGACTAAATAAACATTCTCCAAAGTTTCAATAAAAATTTCCAAGTTTTTCTTACAATTTCTGTGGTTTTTATTCAATTTTTATCGATATCGATAATATCCTGATATTTCCATAGAAATTTTCATGTTTTTGGACTACCGATATTTTCGATATCATCGATATTTTAAACCATGATTTCAACTATATGGCTAGGATTAAAATTCAACTAAAATAATGGGGTGATTATGTTGAAAATTATAAATCTCACATCAGAAATTTTACTAAATAAAATAAAATATCTAATGAATGGTTCCACTACTAATATCACCGAGGCCTTTTGTGATAAAACCTTACACCTATTAAGCTTCGTAGATGCATTTGTATTTAGCAGGATTATGAATATAATTCACTTGGATAAAGGAAAAACTTAAAAACTTACAAATTGACTCAAAGTACTCCTTGGCTCCTCATTTTGGCTCATAGTCGGAAATAGAATGGTCAAAATTATTAATGTTTCACAAGATTATAACTTAATTAGGAAAATCCTAATCCAAGCCCCAACCTTTTGACCAAAAAATAAAACGAAAAGCAGGAAACATATGTGATCAATTTTATTAATATTAAAAAACTTCCCAAAAGACTTTGATATATATATATATATATTGCAAATAAATATGAATGGTAATACCAGAAAACCAACGTATTCTTCTATCTCATTTTTTATTGTTTAACTTATTTTTTTTTTTCTTTTTGAGGGGATTTTTCCTTCTTTTTAGATTCTGGATTTCTGAGGAGGTTGAGTTTAGAAACAGTATGAACTTGTACTTTAGTTTTTGTAGGCTGTGTGTGAATGATGTTTCTCTCTCTTTTTGGTCAACTTGTTTTTCGGACGTTTTAGTCAAAGTGTTGCCAGCGTGGACATGAACGCCACATAATAAGGGCACTTTCGTCCTAACACCAGCTAATGAGAGTCGATTAAATAATAGGTATATCGCCGAGTAGCCAATAATAACCTCAAAATTTCAACGCGCCTAAAAGCTGCGTGGCCCCCAGACCTTTATGTAGTCAACCCTTGCACACCTTACTTTGTTTGAGAGGCAGGAGGGCAAAGCAATCATGTTGCATTACTATTTGCTCCCTCAAAACCCAAAATTTACTCTCCAACCCACGAAAGGAACTACCATAACGTTAGATTCTATTCTCTCTCTCTCTCTCTCTTTGCTCCTCCAAAGTAAGTGCTTTTTTGGCCACCAAAGAATCAACTTACATGTACCTAGACTTGTACAGTGTAGACCATTCATCTTAGGACAAAATATAAAAGTTAGAATATACACAAATGAATATTTCAAATGTGAAATTCAACGACTCCAACTATTTGAACATGACATGAAATTTCATCAAAATAAACTCATTTAGAACTCACGACTTAGAGTTTGTTGTAATCATAAAATTTGTTTCAACAAAACACGTAAAGTTAAAGTACAACTTGAATGACGAAAGATTCGTATACTGCATTTTAACACTTACTTTATTTATTTATTATTTTATGGCATGTTTACTTATCAAGAATGAGTATTGAAATCCGTAATCAAATATCCTTAAACTCGTGAATGGGATCAATTAGGGGAGTAGTTGATCCAATTCCAATTCCTTAATTATCCTATATGAGTTCTCCGATTCATAACTTCCACCATTTCTGATAAATAAACATGCTTAAACCCTTGTATTTATGCAAATCTAGTAAGTAGATAAACAATTATAACATGCGCATAAAAATCATAAACGGTGTTATGTGATGGGGAATTTAGGGTGATGTTTGAAATATCGATAGTAGATTTTTCCGAATCACGGATATTTCAGAACATATCCATGTACATATCGTATAAATATCAACAATATTGACGATAATATTGGAAAATATCAATGTAAAGGGAAAAAAAAAGGAAAAAAAAAAGGGAAAAAAGGGAGGAAGAAAAACACAAAGGGGATTTGATCCCCTCCCATTTTACTCCTCCAATACCTTAACCACCATATATTACTTATGTTTTAGTGATAATATGCTAAAATATTTATATTTATATGGGTGTCATGTTAACAATTACATGCAAAACTATTTTGGGGATTTATCATTTGATGAATACTCTTCACAATACACTTACTCTACACATAGAGATGATGAAGATAGTGAAAAATTTGAACCTTATAGGAACTCTATGTGGTACTAAGTCACTCATGTATATTACCATGCAATGTATAAAGTGTAAAATATTGTAGTAAATCATTATATATAAATGATTATGGTGTGTTTAATTTTTTTTTCATTAATTACTACATATTTTCTACACTCATAGTGTTTGCTAGCTCGCTGTATAATCAACTTAAATAAGTTAAATTCATCATGTAATGCATTTCTTTCTAATTTTTTTTTATAAACTAATAGATAATTGACTAAATAAACATTTTCCAAAGTTTCATTAAAAAATTTCAAGTTTTTCTTACAATTTTCGTGGTTTTTATTTAATTTTTATCAATATCGATAATATCCCGATATTTCCATCGAAATTTCCATATTTTTAGACTACCGATATTTTTTATATCACCGATATTTTAGATCGTGATGACAATATATTGTGGCCTTAACTTAAGGCAGTTTGAAGGAAAGCCAAAAATGGCATCCAAAATGAGAGAGATTGAAGGCTTAATGAAGTCATCACAGTAAAAGAGCAGGAGGGACATTGGTGACCTCATCAGAATCCAAAGTCCAAAGGCAGTGAGTAAATTGAATGAAAAGGCGTGTCCTTTTTGGTCACGAAAAGCAGCAGAGTATAATAACAACAGAGAGAGAGAGAGAGAGAGAGAGAGAGAGAGAAGAAGGAGAAGAGAGGAGATGAGGACATTGGGCACAAGAATCAGAAAATGTGTGTGGATATAAAATCAAAATATATCAACATTGCTTCTTATGAGTCAAAGCCGTTGCAGTCTCAAAGCCAAAGAGAAGCATCGAGTCATTTTCATGAAATTGGTGGAGAAGAAAGAGAAAACAAAAACAACAAAGTCGTCCTCGGAAATTCAGTGAGTCTCCGAGTCTCCCCTTTCAAAACGCGGAATCGCTCCCACCATTAAAGAAATCACGGGTTGATTCAATTTCCATTTCCTTTGAAGATTCAAAGCTGCAAACCAAGACCAACGTCATCGACAACACCTTTACATTGAGCAACCACAACCACAAAAGCCAGAAGCTTTCGTTTCATTGACCCAAATTGGTTGTGCCCAGTTGTTTTGTTTCTTCGAATTTCATGGCTTCGGCGGCGATATTCTCATCGCTGCGGCGGCGAAGGTCGCCTTCTTTGGAGGCGTTTTTAGCTCCGGTAGACCTCTCCGACGTGGCGCTTGTACAAATCCTAGTCTCAGTCACCGCCGAGATAGCTTCGTCCTTCTCTGACAAGTTCTTCTCATTCCAGAAGAGGAATTCGAGGTCCCTGGTGCGAAAAGTCGAGATATTTCTCGTGCTTTTGGAGTATTTGAGGGACTCCGGGTCGGCTCTGCCATGGACGGCCGTCATCTGCTTGAAAGAGCTCTACCTGCTCTTGTATAGATCCAAAATTCTTCTCGATTACTGCGCCCAGTCCAGTAAGTTATGGCTTTTGCTTCAGAATCAACCAATTTCAGGTCATTTTCATGATTTGAATAAAGAAATTTCGACCCTTTTGGACGTTTTTCCCATGGAGGACGTTGAATTAGGTGAGGATGTGAGGGAGCAGATTGAGCTGTTGCAGAGACAGGCCAGGAGGGCGAAACTGTTCATCGATGAAGGAGATGAGGAGTTGAGGGTTAAGTTCTTTTCGTTCCTTGACGAGTTTGAGAAGGGTCGGGTTCCCGACTCGGCCGATTTGTGGTTGTTTTTTGCAGAGCGATTGGGGATTCGAGATGCCAAGAGTTGTCGAAATGAAATTGAGTTCTTGGAGGAGCAGATTATAAATCACGAAGGGGATGTTGAACCCACCGTTTCGGTGCTTAATGGGTTTGTGGCATTCACTCGATATTGCAGGTTTTTGCTTTTCGGGTTTGAAGAAGATGAAGTGGAATTGGGGATTGGGAACAATCAGAGGAAGCCTAGAAAAGGTTTGATCACTCAAGAAATTGCTGAGACTTTTATAACGATTCCAAAGGACTTTTGCTGCCCCATATCATTGGATTTGATGAGAGAGCCGGTGATTGTCTCAACAGGACAGACATATGATCGAAGTTCTATTTCGAGGTGGTTGGAAGAAGGGCATTGTACTTGTCCAAAGACAGGACAAATGATGCCCAACACACGCCTTGTTCCTAATCGGGCATTGAGGAATTTGATAATGCAATGGTGCACTGCTTACGGAATTCCTTATGACCCTCCAGAGTGCACAGAAGCTTCTGCAGAAAGCTTTGCAGCTGCTTCTCCCTCTAAGGCCGCACTTGCTGCCAACAAAGCAACCGCAGGGCTTCTAATCCAACGGCTGGAAGATGGATCACCATGTGCACAAACTATAGCTGCTCGTGAGATTCGTTTGTTGGCCAAAACAGGAAGAGAAAATCGTGCTTTCATTGCGGAAGCTGGGGCGATTCCCCATCTATGTAAGTTACTATCATCTCCAAACTCTGTTGCCCAAGAGAATTCTGTAACTGCAATGCTCAACTTATCGATATATGATAAGAACAAAAGCCGGATTATGGATGAAGGGTGTTTGGGATCCATTGTTGATGTTCTGAGGTTTGGGCACACAACTGAGGCAAGGGAGAATGCTGCAGCAACTTTGTTTAGTCTATCTGCAGTTCATGACTATAAGAAGAGAATAGCAGATGAGGAAGGAGCAATTGAAGCCTTGGCAGGGCTGTTGAGAGAGGGTACCCCAAGAGGAAAGAAGGATGCTGTGACAGCTTTGTTTAACCTGTCAACTCACACAGAAAATTGTGCGAGAATGGTTGAGGCAGGGGCTGTGACAGCACTTGTAAGCGCATTGGGAAATGAAGGAGTTGCTGAGGAAGCAGCAGGTGCATTGGCCTTGGTTGTTAGGCAGCCAATTGGGGCTAAAGCAGTGGGGAAAGAGGACATGGCAGTGGCAGGTTTGGTAGGGATGATGCGTTGTGGGACTCCAAGGGGTAAAGAAAATGCAGTTGCAGCTTTGCTTGAGTTGTGCCGGAGTGGTGGAGCTGCTGCCACTGAAAGGGTAGTTAAGGCACCAGCTTTGGCTGGGTTGCTGCAGACATTGCTTTTTACTGGTACAAAGCGGGCAAGAAGAAAGGCAGCATCACTTGCTAGAGTGTTCCAAAGGTGTGAGAATGCTGCAGCAATGCATTTTGGTGGTCTTGGTGTAGGATATGCATTTGCAGGTAACTCAGCTGCAAATAGGGATTCGAGTTTCGCCAGTGATGTCGCAGTGCCAATGTCCATTTCAGTGCCTGTTTTATAGTGGTAACGTCCACCCTAGATTTATAGTCTTCCTTGCTTATATGTTCCCATTTTTGTTGGAAATATTTACACATTCTTTCATTGAAATTGGAGGTCATAAAGAAGTTACAGGAATATCTTATCTAAATGTGCTTTAAGAGAATATTTTGTGTTGTCAAGCTTCTAGTGTAAGTTTAGCATACATGTAATGTCCAATGGTTTGAAAAACCACGACAGAAAGTGTTCACAACAATGTCAAGACCATTACAGATGCATTGAGAAACTGCAGTTTCAGGTGATGTTTCTCAATTGGCTTATTGGTTTCATAAAAATATGATTCAAATGCAGAAATTTGTATTGCTGTGACATTTTGTTAACTGATATAATGACTGGCTGCTGAAATCCTTATCGAAGAATCCTCCTAAAGTCGTTTAAGTGAATTCTTGGAGATCCTTGTAACCTAGCATAATCATATAAGGTCTCAGACCTTGAATCTCTTGAAATCGTGTTAATGCTTCTGAATTTGATGCTATAAAGTGACTACTTATATTTGTGCTGCTCAACAGTGCTTTTGCCTGATCTATAAGTGAATGTTTAATAAACACCTATTGAGAGAAAAAATAATGTTATATGAACTAGTTGCAATAATTGGCTGAACAGTTAGGCTTTCCATTTTTAGCTTCACTTTGGTAAGAGTGGATCTCAGACTGTTATTGGCACTAGTAACTGTCAAACTGAGTTCATCTTCACATTATGATATTGAATCAGAAAACAAAAATTCGATCTTTTAACAAGTCTTATGCGTTTGAATATTCAAAAGTGTTAACTTTCGATTTATATTTGCAACACCTAGGCAACGTAGTTCTTAAAAGTCTCAAGAATTTAGTTAGCGAAAGACTGAGCAAAGGTACGAGGCATTTCCACATCGGGAACTTTCTTTCTGGAGACTAAAACTAGTGGTTTATTTGTGAATGATGTAAGACGGGACACAATTTTCTTCTTTCATTCAATTGTTTGATTGACCAAATGCTAAGTTTGGTAAGGTGATGACCCAACTAGTTTCATCCGCTAGATTCTTATCGGCCAATCAGGTCAGACAACAGAGTCACATCACAATGCTGCTATTCTCTCTGTATTTTTTCTTTTTTCCTTAAGGTAGAAAGTGGGATAACAGTGGCAAAATGCTATGATCGTTTTCTTTGAATTGATTGGAGCACCTTGAGAGAGATAAATCTTGGAAGATTTCATTTCGTTGGCCTCTTTTTTAACCTTTCTTTTTAAGAATATTTTTGGCTGGCGTTAGGCAACCACTAATGTCTGTTGGAAAATTCCACTTGAAGCAGAATCTTGTTGCAATCGAGAGCTTTTGTAATGGCGTTGAAGGGAACGTACTCAAAGTTGATGCACCAAAAGATCCCATTTACTTGAGTAATAATTGGAGACTGATGAGAGATATTGTGTGGTAGCTGAAGCTTATATATCTAGAGGCCAAATCCTCAACCAGTTGCAGCAATGATGGTTGCTAATGATAATACCACAACATCCATAATGCTTACAGCTTATACCCCAATATACTTGACTTTATATATTAAAGAAAATCACCGTAACGTTTGGTGGGGAGTACTTGATTGAATTATTTCAATTAAATTGAACAATAGTCCTGACCGTTGTTTAGTATATTAGACTGAAATTATTAAATTGGACAACATTTCAACATATTTTGTCTTATAAATTTCATCTAGAGAGATGAAACTCATAAACACCGACTTATACTCAACTTTAATTCAATCCAAAATGAACCACCAGACAAAAAAATAAATAAATGTATAGATGTTAAAGAGTTGCTCAACTTGAACTTTCTTGGGTCCCTCCAAGGAAAAGATTACAAGCCCCATCTCCTTGGCCGGTAATGTGAGAAAGTATTGGGTGGCAATAATATTACTGATATCATAGTGATTTCTGTCCTTTTTTTTTTTCTTATAATGACACCACTTAGAGTGCTTCTTCTCCATCCATTTGGCAAAGCCTGTGTGGAGGGAGGACAATGTGCAGGGGGCCCTGTTCTATGGGTTTGTTCATTTGGACACATTGGACTATTATTAGCTGGCCGGCAAGAAAAGTCATGATTTCTATTGTTGCCATTGTTTTTAGACTCTCTCAGTTTATAGTAACTACAATTCAATACGTTGCCTCCAAGGCAGGTAGTCTTGGTTGGATTTCAAACACAAAACGTTTTAAACGTTGTATTTGGATCAATGGACTTAAAATTAATGAAGTTTTTATAAGATGTTGAATGTTATTTCTTCATAGAAAGTCTATTTTGCCGGCCTAAGCTGTTCACAATAAAAACAAGGCAGCTAGAACATAGCAGAAGATGGTTGGATGTTAAAATGAGGCATTATTATTATAATATGAAACGAGTTGAATGTTTGATCTATGTATGTTGAAGTTTTTGTCCAATCGAACGCACCCAACGCATGGGATGTGCCCTCACAATAAAAGATAATAAGATGGTTGAATGAGAATTCCTCACAGAAACAAGGTAGGGTTTTTGTTTCCTTCTGTTATTGAGTAATATTTAAATAAATAAAACTGCAACATGCACTGAAGTGGCATTTAATCCAAGTGTAAACAACTGAATTTTCCTTGCTGTTGGTCCCTGAGGCCTGCTGAAAACAGAGAAGATTTTGAACCATCTCAGAATTTAAAGTCTTGGTCTTGGCAATAAAACAGCAAACAAGAAACAAAGAAGTGCAACAGGGGACTTTGAATGCGCTGGAAATTTGATGCTGAAACGCAGAGTATATTTTACTGCAACCATGGGGTGGGGGGAGGTCTTTTTCGAAGACATTCTAGACAAGAAAGAATAATAAAAGAGGGTGGTTGATTTCTCTTCGGCTCATGAGGGTTTAGTCCAAAACCAAATCAGACGTTTAGAATTGTAGTAGTCTTGCCCTAGCTAGCTATCAAGGAGGCATGCTTGTTGATTTTTTTTTTTTTTTTGGGGAAGTACCAAAAAAAAATAAAAATTACAAGGAGAACTCCCGAGATATTCCAAGAGTCTTTAGATCAAACATCAATCTCATAGTCAATGCATTTGGAAAACTAGTAAACCAAATATGATGTTTATAATGACGCAAATTAATGAGAGTGTAACGACCATATTTGCTTCATGATATACATGTTGAACATTAGAAATCTAAAGCTATTATGCTTGTTGAATTTCGCACATTGGTTTTTTTATATTTATTTTATATTAAATTACAGAGGATTCCTTGATTCACAGATTTTAAATAAATAAATAACACAAGCAACAGTAAAAAAAACACAGCACTGGATAGGAAAATATGCATGAAACAGAGTGGATGGGAATTGAACCAAAGAACTGTTATTGAAAGCCCATATTGTGTTATGGGCTGAAATGTTTGTTCTAGATGGGTATTACTTGAGGTTAGAAGTTGGTCACGAGAGGGGTTAAAGACCTTAGATAAGACTCTATCTCTTAATCGTTAAATCAAATTAGTTAGCTATTGGATTAAATTGGTTAGTTTGATCCAACGGTTAAGAGATAGGACCTCATCTAATGGTTTTAGATAAGGCCCTCACTATAGAATAACTTGGGGAAAGATCCAAAGACATAAAGTGAGAGAGATCGGAAATTCAATCCAAGCAAGTCTCTTGAAGCTCATTAATTTTCAAGCAAAAGTACGTTGTTTCATTTCACATTTTTCTTTACTACACACTGGAAAATAAAAATGAATGTTATAAAATTAAGGGGAATTGTAGACAACAATAAGAGGAAGAGAAATACAGAGAATTTGTTCTATGAACTTGTATCAACTTATCTTATTCATCTTTGATAAGAGCCTATTTATAGGCTTACAATAGAGGTATTTAACCCACAATTTATAGCTACTAATTACAATAATAAGGGCATAGGTTACAAAGCAATAAGGGGTGGAGAGGTAATTGATGTTATGATGGTCATCTACGTTCCATAAATTTATAACAATGAAGATATTATACTTCAGCCTTCAGGGTTTCTCAAATAAATAAATGAAAAAAATCGAAGTTTTTCATTTCTGAAATTTCCAAAAATTGATTGGAAAATGAATAAAAAAGAAAAGCTGAAAAGGTTGGTCCCTTATAACTTACTTTACCATTTTAGGTGACTCAAAAGTTTAATTGTATTTCAAGCTGAAGCTAGCTGGTGCGTCTTTGTCCGCAGTAAATGAGTTCATTGCTTGGGCACAATGATGTCAAAATCACTAACAGTCCATTCAGCAACTTGATCAGGGTCTTTGAAAATTTCAGTCCCTAAATCTATAGACATCCATTGCCTTCTAGCTGGTGGGGTTCCTGGATCCTGCAAATAAGACATCAAACCATAGCTCAACTTAGTATATGTCACAAGCAATATTATAGCAAAATTTAATCTGTCACAGGGCAAACAATATCAAACCTGGTAAAAATAAAGTGATTGTGACAATCTCCCAACATCCAGCTCCCATGTTCTTGGATCCCCAATCCAACCCTCCCCTTGCTTTGTAGGGTATCCGTACTCACCCCAAACCGGGTGTGGCAAGATTTGCAAAATCTCCTGAGGCTGAGGGTTGCTATATGGATCACACAAGTTAAAAGGAGCCTCTAGATGCTCCCCGTTCCCCGGCGAGCAGTACAAGTGATAGGCGGCGTAAGGGAAGCGGGCAGTGTCATTTCGATGAACCCGTGTGCCGTTTCGGAATGTGTGGTAAGGTGGGCACACATTGAGGTTGTTTGCATGGCACCATGAGGTTGTGTTTGGATTTATGATCATTTCACTGTATCTGGTAACATCTGAAGTCACATTGCCATCACAAGGCTTCCCATTGTTCTTCCAACAGCTCCCCATGTCCATGAGGTAGAACTGGCTGCTAGGACCCCCACCTTTGATCACATTCAAGGTGAACCTCACTTTAAAATTGGGTGATTCTGGAATCTGCATTGCAATTGGCAATATTTGAGTAAACCAAGTATCTTCATCCTCAAGAAAGTTTTGCTTCCAAGCAAAAGCAAAACTTATGAAAAGAACGCTTTCCTAACAAAGATTAGTACAAAAGTTTTCTCAGATAAAACTTGTATAACTATATAAAAAGGTTACTCACAATTTTGGACATCCCTCTTGTAGGGTAATGGTAGCCACCAGAAAACCCATGGGTGGCGTCTGATCTCAAGTAAAGCAT